CTTCACGGAAGGAACCGAGAGAAGATAATGGAGAATATCAACCTTAGTCAGCCGTACCCCCATTCCCGCCCATGATCTTTGACAAAGCGAGGGCGCCCATTAAACGAGACAGGGCCCTTCTCTCTTTCACCCTTTTAATTAATGCATATAGCTTTTCTTGGTTAAAGTGTGGTAGTATTTAAAGTGCTAATGTAATATATTCTGATACATTATTCGCAACAATTTTGCGCATTTCTTTTGCATCGCGTAACAGTTCTAGAAAGTAAACCTACTTTTACTAGATTTACCTTATCTCTCATCATGTTCTTATTCAGTTAGATCATTCGTTATGAAATATCCGGAGTAATGAGACCGATTTATTATATCAAATGTTTCTTTTACATTTACATTCTGCCATTATGCCTAAAGGTTTTTAAAATGTGTCGAATCCATACTCTTCCATTATTTTACGTGCTACTTTCGAAAAAAAATTCTTTTATTATGATGATAATTATGAGATATAAGCATGATAAATATTGTGATACTAAAAACAACAATAATGATTACTGATGACAATAATGAAAATATAATAAAAAAAAAGATGGTTACAATAGTCCTTATCTATGTCCTTATTTATAAAAACTCCTATGGCTTTTCCGTTTTTTTCAAAGAAAGTCTGCCTTTCTTCATCTGTAGCTATTTCCAATACACAATATCAAACATACAAACTTTTACCATCATGTGAGTACTGGTGATGGTAAAAGTAACATCAAAATGTTGTATCGCCATTTCTTTAATAGTAATGGTGATGATAGTGACACTGCGTTCAAAGTAATCATGATTATAATAATACAGCATATGCAGTGACTGCAAAACCATCACAGATATTTAATTAAAAAAAAAAAAAATAGAATAAATTATAAGAGATAAGGGATAGGCTTGATGTGTCAGCCGTTGTCACCTTTGATAGGGCGGATTACAAATATATAACGTCGATTAATGAATAATGACGCTGTTTGACACACCCAAATTATAAATGTAAAAGGATGTGATATAGGCACTTGTTTCCTTTTTCACGTTTTTATTAGTAAAATTTCGTTACATGTAACATTTTGTACACCATCAAAATCGTTATAAATAATATAACATGTGATAATCCAGTATCATTTCGATACTAGAAGGCTTTACTGAGGAAAGCCGTAGGCATTCGAAGGGCGAGAAGGACGAGAAGGGGCGCTGTATCCCTGAGAAGGTCCTTGACGGGCGCGCTCGATTTGCCTGAGGGCGTGAGCGGGGATGGGATGAGGGAAGGCTGGCGCCACGGGAAGGAAGGGCGACTGAGGCTGGAAGCCGTTCTCGTCAGCTACGAAGCGAAGCTCAAACTGTTGTCCGTCAGGAAGGGGAAAGCTGAAAATGATGGATTGGGTTAACATATGATGTTTTTCAAATGAATAGTCGTATTCCTATATCAACAGAATCTTGATGAAACAAATAGGGACACTCACGAGTAGGATCCGGACATGGCCGTGACGGGACCCTCCTTGGCGGGAATAGGCGATCCACTTTCCTGGCGTGAGATGCCGTCACCGGTCTCAACATTGAAGCTGTAAGCACCGGCGGCGTCGGGGTGGACGCGGTCGTCCACAAGGATGGGCACTAGTGGTCCGGGAGCAGATCTTGGGGCGGAGTAAATTGGCTGGGGAGCAGGTCTTGGGGCGGAAAAGGAAGGACGAGATGCAGGTCGCGACCTGAAGATTGAAGGAGGTTGTGGAGAGACATAGCCGAAATGACTGGGCAGTCTGTCAGCCAGACAGACTGATACAACTGCGGCGAATACAATCTGAAAGGAATGAAATAAATGATTGTATTGATTCAGTTGTATTATCGTCCGGTGAGAATTTTCTCAGTTATTCCACCTTCATATACGGTATTATGCACAGTTCTTTCGTGGTCTTACGATCTTCATGGCAGTGGAGGGTGTGGTGAATCGAATGGCTTATGAGGTGAATGATACCGTTCTCTCGAACCGAGCTTTATATACCAAGTGGAAGTGCTTCGGTCAAGGTGGCATCATCACTGCCTCCCACGTAAGTTCTCTTATGCAACATGATAGTGCTTACCGGTGTAAGTGAGGTCGTGTCTGAATAAGTATTATATTTTTGAGGAATAGAACTACGAATTGCATTTAATCTTGCATATTTTTTTCTTATTAAATTATTAGGCCCCAAGTATTTAGACCTGAAGAAAAGAAGAGATCAAGCCTGGTAATTTCCCACTATGAAATTAGTAGACCTCTTGGCAATCCATTTTGATCTTTTACAAATTTCATATATAGCCAAAAGAGGATTTACACGTCATCAGATCGAGGACATATATTTAGCATGATTTATTTTTTTGTTGCTTTCTGTTATCAGACATTATCTTTTCGAAATCATGGGAACTTCTATTTCTTATTCTTCTCTCATTTTTTTTCTCCATCTCACTCTCTTTCTGTGTGTTTGACTCCTCTCTCCCTCTCTCTATCTATCTATCTATCTATCTATCTCTCTGTACATCTGCCTCTTCTCTCTCTCTCTTTCTCTCTCTGTAAATCTCTGTGTGTGTGTGTGTGTGTGCATCTTTCTCCTCTCTCTCTCTTTCACACACACACACACACAGACACGCACACACACACACACACACTAACTCGCACAGGATCTCTCCAGTCTCTCTCTCTCACCCCCCCCCCCCCCCTTCTCTCTCTCTTACTAAATGACACAAAATATCTCATTCTCGCACTCTTAATAATACACAAGATCTCTCTCTCTCCCTCTCTCTTATTAAATCACACAAAATCTCTCTCTCTCTCTCTCTCTCTCTCTCTCTCTCTCTCTCTCTCTCTCTCTCTCTCTCTCTCTCTCTCTCTCTCTCTCTCTCTCTCTCTCTCTCTTCGTTACAATTTTTTTCTACTATGGTCTGCTTGTTGAATTTCACTTTTTAGTAATTACAACAATAATGATATTCCTAGATAATAAACACAATAATGATAACAAGAATGGTAATAATGATAATAATAATAGTAATAATAATAATGATAATGATAACAATAACAACAGTATTGATGAATCCTGTGTTCCAATAACAAGAATAAAGATGATATAAATGGTAATAATTCCAATAACAATAATAACACATCAACATCAACCAACAATGCTGATGATATTTGCAATATATTTTTTTAACAACAAAAAGTGACAACAACGATGATAATGCTAAGAGTAATATTACCGGAAATGGTGATAATGACGATAACAATAACAATGCTCATGATGACAATACAAAGGTAACTGATATTCATGTTAATCGTAACAAACTGGTTTTAAAGTTTTCTGGTTTAAAAAGATACGTATTGTATAGACGTTACGTCAGATATTACAACGAACACATTCAAGTACATGCTGTCCTTATACAACAGCAGTTAGCATTGATGATTATGAATATAATGTTGATCATGGTATTGATGAAAAAGTGAAAATGTCATAATGATGATAATAATAGCATTGATAATAATGATAATGATAACAAAAATTATAATGATAATGGTAATAATAGTAGTAATGATAATGATGATAATAATATTGATGATAGTAATATTGATGATAATATTGATAACGATCTTAATAACAACAATAATGGTAACTGTAATACTTAAAATGATAATTATAATAATAAGGATATAAGGATAATAATAACAACAACAACAACAATAAAAATAATAATGATAATAATAATAATAATAATAATAATAATAATAATAATAATAATAATAATAATAATAATAATAATAATAATAATGATAAATCCAATAAGGACATTGACAAGTATATATATGTAATAATACTAGAAATAATAATGATTATAACAGTAATGATAATAATAAAAACAATGATAATGATAGGAATATTCATTATAATGATAATGATACTAACAAGAAGAAATATAATAATATTAATAGTAATAATAATGATAATGATAATCAAAATATTAATAACAGGGATGTTCATGGCAATGATAATAGTAATAATGATAATAATAATGATAATATTACTAATGATAATGACAATAATGATAATCATAATACCAATGGTATTAAAGTAATAACAGTAATACCCATGATAATGATGATTTAGATATTACTATTATTGCCATTACCCTTATCATTATTCATGACAATAATGATAGTAATAATAATAGCAATAATAATTGTAACAATAATAATAGTGATGATGACAGTGATAAATATAACAAAATAGCAATACATGGGGGAAAATACAAGTGAGAAATATATAGTTATTCATTAGCTTTATTCGTTACTTCCGTTTCTTTTCTTTTCTTAAAAAGTCAGCCTCAATAGACACTTATTAATAAGACCGAAATAGATATAAATTCCATAATAATGATAATAATAATAATAATAATAATAATAATATATATATATATATATATATATATATATATATAATATATATATATATATATATATATATATTATGTGTGTGTGTGTGTGTGTGTGTGTGTGTGTGTGTGTGTGTGTGTATGTATATGTATATGTATATATATATATATATATATATATATATTATATATATATATATATATATATATATATATATATATATATATATATATAATTACTCGTCTCGTGTAGAATGTGATGAAACGAAAAGACAAATGCCGAATCGATTTTGCGATTAACGGTAAGAGAATGCCCCACGTTGTCTTGTCATCTTTCTTGGACAATCGGATTTTCTTATTTTACTTTCCTTATTTCAAGGGCAGATCTTCTGGTATTTGAGTACACGATCACTTACAGCTAAAAAAAAAAGAAAAAAAAAAAAAAAAAAAAAAAAAAGTTAAAAGTTAAAGGCTCATAGCAGTGTACTAAATGAAAATCTTTAGATGCATTGCACACCCTGTGAAAGCATCAGTAGTGCCATGCATGGGTGCGTGTGATGGTGTCACCTTGACCGTGACAGGGGCTC